CGTCTCCAGGCTGAACAGGCCCAGTGCCCTCAGCCACTCCTCATACATGTATGTCTTCCCCTCTAGGCCCTTCACTATCTTCGTTGCCCTCCTCTGGACACTCTCCAACAGTTTAATGTCCTTCTTGTACTGTGGTGCCCAGAACTACACACTCGAGGTGAGGCCACACCAGCGCAGAGTAGAGTGGGACAATCACCTCCCTCGACTGACTAGCGATGCTGTGCTTGATGCATCCCAGGATACAGTTGGCCCTCCTGGCTGCCAGGGCACACTGCTGGCTCATATTCAACTTGCTGTCAACCACAACCCGCAGATCCCTCTCTGAGGAGCTGCTCTCCAGCGTCTCATCCCCCAGCTGTACATATAGCCAGGGTTGCCCCATCCCATGTGCAGGACCCGACACTTGCCTTTGTTAAACTTCATGTGGTTGGTGATTGCCCAGCTCTCCAATCTGTCCAGGTCTCTCTGCAAGGCCTTTCCACCTTCAGCTGACTCCACAACTCCTCCACATTTGGTGTCATTGGCAAATTTGCTCAAAACACTTTCTAGTCCTACATCCAACTCATTTATAAAGACATTGAAGAGGACTGGCCCTAAAATGGAGCCTTGAGGGACCCCACTAGTGACCAGCTGCCAGCCAGATGTGGCCCCATTTACCACAACCCTTTGAGCCCTGCCCGTCGGCCAATTGCTCACCCATTGTATGATTTTTGTTAAGTTGTATGCTGGACATTTTGTCCAGTAGCATGCTATGGGAAACCGTGTCAAAAGCTTTGCTGAAGTCCAAAAAGATCACATCATCTGGTTTCCCTTGGTCAACTAGATGGGTGACCTTATCATAAAAGGAAATCGGATTTGTTAGGCAGTACTTACCCCTCATGAACCCATGTTGGCTGGGACCAATGACTGTATTGTTCCCTCTGATGCGCCTCAAGAACTTCAAGAATCATCTTCTCCATAATTTTATCAGGCACTGATGTGAGATTGACTGGCCTGTAATTGCTAGGCTCTTCTTTCTTACCCTGCTTGAAAGTTAGCACAACATTTGCCAGCTTCCAGTCTACTGAGACCTCTCCAGATTTCCAACATCATTGAAAAAAAATTGAGAGAGTCCCCACGATGACATCAGCCAGCTCTTTAAGCCCCCTGGGATGAATCCCGTCCGGACCCATGGACTTATATGGATCCAGGTGGAGCAGCAAATCCTGCACATGTTCAGGGTCGGTTGGGAGTTTGTCATTTCCACTGTCATGGTCCTCCTGCTCAGGGCACGCTGGGTCCCAAAGCCCATCATCAGAGTTGAAGGCAGAGGTGAAGAAGGCATTAAACATCTCTGCCTTGCTTATGTCATTGTCTGTGAGGAGATCTTCCCCATCAAGTATTGGACCTATGTTTTCTTTGGTCCTCCTTTTTCCATTCACATATCTAAAAAAATTTTTTTATTGTCTCCCACAGACATGGTCAGCTTCAACTCTAGTTGGGTTTTGGCCACATTAATTTTCTCCCTACAAACACGAACAGCATCCCTGTATTCTTTCCTCGTTGCCTGACCCTCCTTCCACCACCTGTACACTTTCTTTTTTCACTTAAGCTCCAGTAGAAGATCCCTGGTCAGCCAGGCCTGCCTTCTGCCCTGCCTGCCTGACTTCCAATATTTTGGAATTGCCTGATCTTGTGCTTTTAGGTGTGCTTTTAGTGCTTAAAGATTGACCATCACTGATGGACGCCAATGCCTTCAAAAGCAGTTTCCCAGGGGACCTTGCTGACTAGTTCCCTGAGCAGCCTGAAGTCTGCTTTCCCCATATCCAGGGCTGAAGTTTTGGTGGCTGTTTTCCTTCCATCATCATAAATTCTAAACTCAACCACTTCATGGTCACTATGACCGAGATGGCTGCCAATTGACATGTCTCCCACAAGACCCTTTCTGTTCTCCAGCAACAGATCTAGGAGGCACCTTTCCTAGTTGGCTCCCTTAGCACCTGCACCAAAAAGTTATCATCTAGGTGCTTTATGAACCTCCTGGACTTGCTCGTGTCAGCCGTGTGGTGATCCCAGTTGACATCTGGCAAGTTGAAATCCCCCATAAGGACAATGGGAGTTGATCTCGAGGCATCTCTTAGTTCTGCAAAGAATAATTCATCAGCATTGTTATCCTTGCTGGGTGGTCTGTAATAAACTCCCACTACGACATCCCCTTTATTCGTTCATCCCTTAATCCTTACCCAGAGGCTCTCAACTTTGCCATCGCCAACTTGAAGTTCCACGCAGTCCAGCCCCTGCTTCACATACATTGGCACCCCGCCACCTTGTCTACCCTGCCTGTCCCTCCTGAAGAGCCTGTAACCATCTATTGCAGCACACAAGCCACAGTACTCATCCCACCAGGTTTTGTGTATGCCGATGATGTTGTAGCTGTGGGACTGGGCCAAGACTTCTAGCTCGTCCATTTTATTCCTCATACTGCGTGTGGTTGTGTAAAAGCACTTCAAACGCGCCTCCCTACGTTCAGCACCTTGTGGAGCTGACCGAAGGACCTCACTGGCACATAGTCCCTCTGATTCTGGGGCACCATCCCATAGCTCATCATCGGCATGCCTGGTTTTATCCTCTTCCCCCTTCGACTCTAGTTTAAAGCCCTATCTATAGGCCCTGCCAACTCCTGAGCAAAAATCCTTACCCTACTCTGAGAGAGGCGCATCCCATCTGGTGACAGCAGGCCCAGTGTTACGTAGACCTTCCTGTGATCAAAGAACCCAAAGTTCTGCCGGCTGCACCAGTCCCAAAGCCACTTCTTTGGGAAGTGGCTTGCTTTCCCAAGCATCTTCTCCTCCTTGAGCTGCTTTCCCCATAGCTCACGTGGCTCCTGAGCACCCAGACAAGCCTTTCAGGTCCGAATGATTCGGACATCCATCTGCATAGCCTCCAAAACGAATGTAAAGCAGAAATGTAAGCAAAAATGAGCCTGAAAGACTAATCTGTGCTGCAGCAGGTGGTGGACTGCTGAGGAGGCCAGCAGCACTCACTATTGCAGGTGGGACAGATCAGGCACCTGCACATCCTCTGCCATGGACTAACACATCACCTCAAGGAGCCAGGAGCAACATCAGTAGGGACCGTTGCCTCCTTCCTTGTTAATGAACCAGCTCGTTTCAGGGATTTTGTTTTGGAAGAGAACAAACAGAAATGATCATCAAATGTTACTTTGCATGTGTGTATATCACTGGAGTGCTCGAGCTGCTCTAATGTGATCTCATACATCAGAGTCAAGAGGGATTAACAGCTCTGTCAAATGCCATCAGTGAGAACTGTGTATGTACAGTCAGCTCCTTTGGAAACACTTCTGAGCAGACCAAGTTTAATTCAAATAGTTTAAAAAAACATCCCCAATTGTTATAAATAGGAGAGTCCCTGGAGAAGCAGATGTTAGTCCTACCAAATGCAGTAAAACATATTAAGAAAAAAATCATAAATACAGGCAAAGTTTACTTAGAATATTTAGAATAGAATATTTGCTAGAGAAAGACTGAAAAATTAACTGTGGATGTCATTTGGTGCTTTAAAATACTATCATGTGTGTCATTAAAAAAGAAATATTCTCCTAAATGTCTGTTATTTAGTTTTGAAATGAAAAATATCAAATAGTTAAACTTTATTATGTGTAAAATTGTTTTTAGATTATGATGTAAATGTTACGTACAGAAAAGCAAACTTTAAAAGCAAGGATAAGCAGCTTGCTTCAGAAATATTCAGAACACCAAAACCAAACATGTTTTTAAGCTGATCTGAATGCGGCAAGGACCATATGCCATTGCCCTTGAGGGGGGATGCCAAGATCACTGGGGCTACAAGCCCTGCTTCTACTATGAAGAACCATGTGGATCTTTGAAATTCCCTGGGTATAATGCAAAGGGGCCTTCTGCCTGGTGCAGCTCCCACCTAGCAAGAAGTCCTGGTTTAACCTGCTGAAGAACAGCTAAGGGGACACAGCTCTGCTTCGCTCCCAAGCAGCAACTCGTGCTCAAGGAGCTTAAAGAAATACAGCAGAGTATACAGCAGTGGAAAGTCCACTACCTTCTCCTGCCATGAAGATTCCAGCTAAGGCTTGCACCCCATATATAATAAAATAAAATTTCCTGAAAAGGGAAAGAGTTTTGTTTAAAATGCTGGTGATGCTTCTTCATGTCTCAAAGGAATCTAGCACCAAGCTTATCCTAGTTAAAGTTGTGTTAAATGTAGTACATTTGCTTGCTAAATGTAATCCTTCAAAATAAACCAAGTTCTAGAGATACAATGGTAAAAGAGCAATATCCCATGACAAATTCTGTATCTTCCTGGGCTGATTTTTTATGCTATCCTTCTGGAAATGACTGAGATGAGCTATGTTCGTGTAACAGTATATGCACACTGACCTCCAAATGCTGATTATGGTGTCATTAAACCAAAAGAACAGTTCATCAGGTAATCAGGTCTTGATTACTTGCAGCAACATCACTGTAGAGGTGACTGGTCCCTTGCTGACCAGCTAAATCCCTTGCTTTCTTTATGTTTTCTGTAGGCCTTGGTAGCTGATCTGTTGCTTTTATAGACTCATACTTACAATCTGTCATTCACATAGCTATCACAAAAGAGCACTACAGCACCCATAACTTTTTGGCAAGTAGGCCACCAAAGACAACATTAACTAACGAGAAAGCAGAGGTATTAATGGCATGTAAGCAGTGTCAAAACAGTTGAGGTTACATGGCATATTAGCAAAGCATGAATAAATCTTTAGTGTTCTTTAATTTTGCTAAGATTTTTTTACTTCAGAACTCTTATGTGCCAAATGGAACATACAAGTACTCTATCTAAATAGTGACAACCTAGACCAGTAAACTGCACTGTTCCATGAGTGAGGGATTAACTGTTGCAAATGTGTGGTGGCATGAAGGTAGCCATGAGGAATCAGCAATCCTTCAGAAGAATATTATTCCAAATTGACTTTGCTTGTTCCTTTGCAGGTAGCCAGCACTGTTCACATCACATTACAACAGCATGCTTACGAGCTCATCAAGAGAAGACTGTAGTAGATCATGTGCCTTGTAAAACTGATGCTTCAGTGCAAACATACAAAGGATGTGCCTGGTCTGAAGAGTTGCTGAGAATGTCACAGAGTCCTGCTATGGCTTGTGGCCCATTTACTGTCCATGGATTCATGCACCCACTCATCCCTCCAGCCACCTGTCCTGCAACATTTTGATGTACGTACCCAGAAACTGCTGGTAGGATGGCAGCCATCAGCTTCCAAAGCCAGGTATTATTATTATTATTATTATTATTATTATTATTATTATTATTATTATTATTATTATTATTATTATTATTATTATTATTATTTCCTTTTAACAGGAAAATTGTATGTTCTATCCACTCTACAGTCTAAATCAAACTGCAGGATGCTAATAAAAGAAGTCATGACTCACAGATTAAATTTCTTCTGTATTAGCCTTAAACTTGGTGGTGAGATTTATCAGAGCCTCAGATTCTTAGCTTTAAACAGAAAAAGTATTCCAGATCAAATTTTGATAACATATCTACTGTTGTTCAACAGCATAAGAAAAGCCCCAAAGTGCAAGAAACTTGAATCACCTGGCCCTGAACTTTGCTTATACCATGCCAAAATATTGTTATCTATCATATTTGGCACCTTTCTTTATCTGACAGTTCACAATTAATTCAGCTGCCAGGCCTTTTCTAATATCCTGTATTCTACTGGAGTTTAAAAAGTCAATGTCTATGCTTTTATTAAGGTTCAAAGAGTTTAATTACTATTTATGACCTTAAAATAGTATTGAAATTTTAGCTTTCCCAACATTAATTATACAATGCATAATTAAATCCCAGGAGTACTTTTAAGTGACATTTGTTGGGTGTTATGAATCAGACCTTGTGGCTGCAGGGATCTGAGGACAGCAGCAGGCTTCAGCAGGATAAACAGGGAGAGCCACTGGTCCCATGGCATGTAGCTGGATGGCAGCAGGAAGACTGCACAGATCCACCATGGAGGGGATGCATGCAAGTCAATTTCCATTTATATTCAACTACATTGTGGAAAAGACTTTGTGTGTGAATGTCTCCATGATACCACTCACTAAGGTAGACATAAACATAATTATTTTCCTTAGAACTCAGATATATACGGTCAGAACAGTGCTAAAGGGTATCCTTAGCCAGGGGAGACAGGCTCTCTAAATCATCTTTGTTTTAAAGCATCATGTGTTATTTCAACTATTAATGAAAATACACTGGTTAATGTTATTTAAAATGCATTTAGTATAAAGGCTGCATATGAAACAATGTCAAAAGGAAAACAAAAATCAGAATAATCATAAAAGCCAGCTTTCTTGGAGAAATATTGCATTAGATTTATGAAAGAAAGGCAGGCTTGATATTTTATGTTTAGAGGATTTTAATGAATAAATGCTATTCCTATTTATTATTTACTACTTTCAAAATTTAATGAATAGTCCTGGTGATAATTTCTTTATTTCTATATTTATAGAAATACAGCATTTCATACATACTGAACTGTGTTATTATCTACACATGTTCTGCCTTTCTGTAAATACAGAAATTTGGTGTTTGCCAGCAGAACTATTCATTACAATTTGAAAGTGGATAAATAATGAATAGCAATGCCATTTCTTCATTAAAATTCTACAAAAGGAAAATATATATTCGTTATTCCTTTCATGAATTTGGCCCATTGAAGGTTCATAAATAATTGTGCTTCACAATTGTGTCTAATTAGCAGTGAACTTAATCCACTGCATCCAAAAGCCTGAAGCAAAGAGAGGGATTTTTTGTTGTTTTATTTCTCACTCTCGGTGGCAACTGTCTAATTTTCCAAATGCACCTTTGCTGATAACACAAAATGACTCATCTTCAAAGATCAGTTATGTGTATACTTTTTTGCCCCAGATCTGCTCTTTTAAGTACCGCGTTCATAACCACTGTCCTCATCACATTTAAGACAAGCTCAACAGGAAATCAGCAGTACAGTAGTGAATAAAAAATCTTAAAAATACTTCTCAAAATACTCAGAGAGGCTTGTTCTCAAATGTGAGCTTTCCTGAGTGCTGTGTTACTGTAGGAATGTCCCTCCAATAAATAGCACGTATGTCCTGGAGTAAGCTCAAGCAGCAGCAGCAGCTGTGGTGAAAACCTTGTGCCCAAGGTAGGCTCTTCCCAGGCAGCCTGGTAGAGTACCATCACACAGGCAGTACCGCAGCCCATGTTCTTTCCCTGCACTGGCTTCAAAATCAATATACAAAATAAACTGACCATATTGTTAATGAGCATTTCCCCAACAATGCACCCTGAAGAGCCGTTAGAGAATGATTTATATTTAGCCGTCCCCCTTTGCTGTATAGTCTATTTTACTAGTGACTGGATGATGTAAAATAGAGCCAGACATATTAAATGTTGCATATTGTTCGGCTTTTGGTATCCCTAGTTTCTGTGGTGCTTATTACATGCCTATATAGCTGCTCCCACTGAGATTCCTAGGCAGGTTTGATAAAAATCCTAAATGCATTGGTTGTTTTTGTCTCTTTTCAAACTAGTTAGTTGCCAGTAATGCTGTTAGCTTTGTTCTTTGTACATTTTCAGCAGCGCTTAAGCCCATACTTTAACTGATTTGATGTTATCTGATTCCTAAACCATCGCCAGCTATGAAACATCTAAGTCTGTTATGAATAGTCGTTTAAACAACCAGTACTTCTTTATGAGACGCCAGCAGGTTATTTGATTATATTACAATCACATGCCTTGCAGTTGAACTTTACTGTTGCCAATGAAAAGCAGAGGAGGGGGAGAAGGAAAGGGAAATGAATCTTTGCTTTTCTTGGTGTCCTTTGTAACTCATACAACTCAAACAGTAAGGACACTAGACAATGTCCTCATTGAATTTATGCCATCAAACTATTTAACACAAAGCATGATATATTTTTAACTGGCCTTGTCTTAGAAAACAAAGACAGACTCCAACAGATTTCTTAAGTGAAAGCCTCTTGTATCACAGCTTCAATAAAATAAACATCTCTCTTGTTTTTCCTCTTTATCCTTTACGAAGACCAAAGGAAAGACTAAAGACAGGCTCCCTGATGGAACAAATTTAACTAAAATAACCATAGCCTGGTTTTAGAAATATATCAACTCCTTCCAAATGTAGAAAATAGCAAAATAAATGCTGTTTTGTCATCATAATTCAACCCTGAGAAATTCATGTCCTCCTACAAAAAAAAAACAACACAACAACCCTATGAATTAAAATGATCAGATCTTTCAACATAAGTGCTAGAGAAAGTTATGTAGGGAAAGGTCAGGTATTAAATACAGAGGCAGGTTTCCATTCCCAGTGCTGCCACAGACATCCAGAACGACACCAGGCAAGTCGGGGATTTTTTAGGTACCTGCCCCCCCCCAACAAAATCTATAGCCATGAGTTAAATCCTGATGGCTTATAAAATGCATCCAGAGAGTCAGGCACAGAGAATAATAAGTGAAAAGATGCCTAATATAACATAAATCTAAAAAATGCAGTCACCCTTGGGCATAATAAAATGGGCATAATAGTATTCTCCTACCTCACAGAGTTCTATCAGCATATATTTACAAATGCATAGGTTCATAAAGACTACAGAAACAGTTTTGGAGACCCTTGTGTTATGTCACTGTCACTGAACAAATCCTGGCATTGCCTGTCCCTGGCACGAGTAGTGTGTGAGCTTAGGATGTGCCAGGAAAAGTGCTTATAATTTACTGCTTTCCCAACTTAATGTTCAAACGTTTTTGTTTTGTTTTGTTTTGTTTTAAACTCAGCACTATTAGTCCATCCATAAGAGTGCAAGAATCATATCTTGGGATCTGGTTGGCAAGAAAACCATAGTGTTTCCTCATGTTTTTTCCATGGTCTTCGCACTGCAGCATTCTCTAAGTGTGGGAGTTATCTGGAGTACCTTAGAAACCTGAATTCAGCAACATGGATTTGGTGTTTGTCTTTCTGTCAGGCCTCTGAACAAAAAAAAAAAAACAATGTCTAAATGCTTGGCATTATCTAAATTCTCAGAGCACAAATTCATATGTCTTCACTTATACGTCCTTTGTGTCCACAGACATCTGCAAAGTGGTAAAATATCTGCAAAAGTGATTTCCCATCTGAACACGCTGTGACCTGGATGCACATGTAGGTATATTGTTATAATTTTTGCAACCTAGGTGCAGAGAGTTGAAAATATGCCCCTGGTGACCAGTCATTAACGAAACTGAAATGAGGACAGCTTCATGTAAGAGGCTTTCTGAATGCCTTGAAATATACTCAGCATATTTTAAATAGCTTTAATTCTACAGTACTTTTAATATAACCCTTTAAACATGAGGGAACACAAAGGGAAGGTTAATTGGAATGGCTAATTAAACATAGTGAAGTTAAAGAACTGGAACACTGGGATTTTATTTTGATATTTAGCAACATCTCATAACCCTAAGGACATTGATTTAGCCTAAGGTCTGGTATCTTTATAAATTGCAACATAGCCTGGAGCCTCAAAGGAGAGAGAAAAAGGGTCGAGTGCTTGTAACAACAGATTCCCAAAGGAGCCCTGATAACAATTATAACCAACATGATTATTTGTGTTACTTAAAAAATAAATCCATCTCTCAGGTTTTAGTCATTTTCTACTGATTAACATGAAAACAGTGAGACAAAATCTGCAACAAAAGCACATCAGATCCCAGGATCCAAAGGACACAAATCCGTATGTCAAGACTACCCTGCGTGGCTCTGCAGCCACGAACTACATTTTGCCCTGGATAATCCCAGTACAGTCTAAAACATTCCCCAGATGTGTCATCTACTAATAAAAAATAATGCTTCTCTGGACTTCCTCAGTGGTCTTAGAAGAACTTTCAGGGAGTCCGGGAAGTGTAGTTACACTTTTTGTATAGCAGGGAAGATGAACAACACCATACCCAAGTCACAGCTGGCAGAGAGAAATATGAAAGAAGTGATGATGTCCAGATCTGCTCCTCACTGTTGAAGTGCCTGTGCCTTGTGTTCTGCTGTGGTTTTTATGTCAGCATCACAGACAGCAGAGCAGAAACTATCCGAGAGCACTACCAGGTTAGAAATGGTGGCGCCATACCAGTGGGATCATCTGCCTTACAGTTTTTCTGGGTTTGGGACCAGCTTCACTTCCATACAAAGCACAGTGCAGGAATGTGTGCTGGACAACAGCCTGGTTGCCATGTCTCCTGCTATTAAACCGGGAGCACAAATCAAAGTTGCTGAAGCTCTGTTAGCTTTGTTCAGTGAGCTCCACTGCTGTGAGAGTTGTCCTTACTACACAAAATAAAAGTTTGCTTTAACAAAGGTGTCCTGATGGCCTGCCTAGACATAGCTATAGGCTGCTGAATGCTAAAAACAAATGGAAGGAGTTGTTTCTAAATGTTTTCTTTCCTTTTAGCTCACTGAGAATTTCCTACAACAGAGCACAGTTCCCTCAGTTCACATTTACCTTACCTGTTTCTGTATCACCAAAAGTGAGATCCTAACCATACTTACACTACCCTGTGTACCCAGTGTGAAAAAGAGTTAGTATCTGTTACCATTATTCACGTGGCTGATGCAAAAGTGTATAATCTTTTTAGGAATGCTGACTTCTATTAATTTACAGATACAGTGATCAGATTACTGGATTATTAATGGCATGAGCATGGAAGAGTAATGAGCTATATGAGCATGTTGTTTTAGTTTAGTGGTCGGACGGAAAAAAACAGGAGTGTGAAGGATACATATAAAACCTCCTGTATCCAAGCATCAGTGATTACCTTCCTCATGCTACATCCAGGCCCCACCAACGTGATGCATATATTTTGCCCAGACTGGGAAAAGACTAGTAGGTTTGATCCAATGATCTAGACAGGACAAAAAGAAACCTGACAAAATGAAGCCCTTCCTGGACTACTATGGAAAGATAAGTGGTGGTGCTCTGTGCTCTGCACGTATAAGAGAATTTTATGATGTTAATCAACCTTAAAACCAGCATCATTCTGCCGAGTTCCTGTTCTGATGGTCTGTTTCTACCTTTGTGAAGTCATTAAGCCATGCCGGGGTGGATTGGACCATGTGTGCTCTTCTGTTGGGAAGAATTAGGTTAAGTATTTGCCTCAGATATCTCCAAATCTTGCAAGTGTCAGATTATGGCTTTTGCCCTGCTTTTATCCTGAAACTGTTTAAGGAGATCTTGGCCAACAAGTTCCTTTCCCACTCCTACATGAGTCGCACCTAGTACACCCTGCTTATGAAAGATCAGCACCAAAACAAAGAATGGCAAAGCATGGCCTGGCATTCTCACAAATCTAATCCTCAGCAGCATCATCTGGTTTCATTGGAAGACCGCTGGGGTCAGCCTCACAGTGAAAGCAGAAAATCAGGTCTTTGTGCTTCCTTGAACTCTGAACATTTGGATTTGGGTCAGCTATGTGAGGCCCACCACCATCTCTGCAAGGAAGATTTGCTGACAATCTACCTACATTTAGATCCATAATTCCGGTTTCATGAATATAGAGGCAACATTAAATGATTGTATGAAGTTGCAATCCAGCGCTAAAACAGTTTGCAACAAAAGGTATTCAGGCACCAGATACATCTATGAATTCACTGCTTTCATTAATACTTGCAGAATGCTTGAGAGTAGAGAAGGCCTTTATGCACTATATGAAATATTTAAATGGAAACGTATTGCCAATAATCAAATATTATGCTCCAAGAAACCTAAATGCAGTCTAAAAATTGAGAATGCTGAGATGGCAAATAGCTTGTTCTTTATTTATTGCAAAGTTTTGTCATAGCTTTGCAAAAATATCTGTGAGAAATGTGAATCCTGCCTGCAAAATTCAGCAGGAAAGGGCCACTTCCCAGATGTCTTTGTTGTCCATTTAGGGGGAAAAAAATGGTTTTGCAATGATTACTTTCACTTTTTTCCTTTTTTAATTTCAGAGGAGAAGATTCTGCCCTTAAAAGGGTGGTGCAAGTCCAGAACTGCTCTGCTGACTTCACAGAGGTGTAAATGAGAACAAAAAAAAGACAATTACTTTTAAATGGATTAATCAGGGCAAGTTAAAAAATAAGAAGAAAATTCTGTTCCCATTTTATACTCAGGTCAGAAATTGGGGGTTTGTTCTCCTTGTTTGCCAGTGCTTCAGAAATAGGAAATAATATCTGAGAATTCTTTTTTCTTTCTTGACAAAGAGCGCTAGTCAAAAATTGGGAACCAGATGGCTGCTTATATATTTCTTTTTTTTTTTTTTTTTTTTTTTTTTTTTATTTACTGCAATACTAAAGCCACCATAAAAGAAGCAAAGTTGAACAGACAGAGCTAATAATATAATCATTCAAAACACCTGCAAACAGTGCAGATGGGCAATTTCTGTCTGCAAAATCATCAGTGAAAGACCGCCTTCCCATATGGGCAAATCTAGCTGCCTTAGAGCTTCCTAAGCTCTGTCCCTTACCTTAAGAAAACCTGCATTGAGCATATGCAGATTTTTTATAGCAGAGCAGAAGTGTCTGTATCTGCCTGTTTGTTTTAGTTAAATACAACTTACCACACTGATAGCCTTCTATCAGTGTATTTGATTTGCCCATCATATGTCCCAAAAGTGCAGAAACCCTGAAGCAGTAAGGCAAACAGCTTTTATTCAGGCAGAACATTTGCAATTGTTAATGTGTATTAACAAACCACCAGCACACAAGTTTTATTCCTTTATGTAAGCAAACAGCTACAGGATCAGGGCTGCTGTTGCTGGGGTGTGTGACCACATATGTCTATCTTACATGTGCATGAGTTTAATATTAGGTGACAAAATTATTTTCCCCCTTATTAAAAGAAATAAATCCTCCTTCTGCCGTCTGTTTGGCATGTCACCCCCAATGCTAACATGCACTGAGATGTGGGAAAGAACCAGGCCCAGGGTGTCCTGGGGATGATGCCACCCATCCCCGATGAGGCTGGGTTGGTCGTGTAATGCAAGATCCATTTCACTCATGATCAGGCATCACAGCAACTCCAGTCCTCATCCAGCAGTAGCCCCCAGCTACAGAACCGAGTTGGAGCGGCGGCAGGAATGTGGATGGCTTTGCACTGAGCGTATTCCACCATCAGCCCCTGGGACCCCCACCTCCCCACACCATCCCCGCCCATGTAGGTGAAATGTTCAGCTCTGATAACGGTATTACATTTGAGTCTGCATTGTTAAGAAGCCTTCACACTTAAACTTCAGTGTTTTACATGAAAGTCTTATACATAAATTTGATTTTTCTCCAGGATACATGATGTTTAAAAAAAGATAAAAAAGTGTAATTAAACACTGCAAAAATGAAATTAGCAAGGATGTTCCAAGCCAAGTAGATCATCTGTAGTACTACTTTATTCAATGAATTCACCCTCTGTTGTGTCTTTGCGCTCTACACAATATAAAGAAAGCACAGATCTAACACTTTTTTATTTTAATACTAGCTGTGTACAAAAATAGAAGGCGTAACTACATTTTTACATTGCTCTTCTTGTTAGGTGTGGGCACCCACACCAACTGCTAAATAAAAAAAAAAATGATTCTTGTTCCAGAATATCTATGAGATTACTTTGAAATGCCTGTTGTTGGTTATAAGTATTGTTTCTATTTTTTTTTTTTTTTAATCCAAAATGGTCACAAAAGCAAGCTCTGCTGAAGCACAACTGGTGGGGGAATCCTAACATTTTTTAATTTTATTTTATTTTATTTATTTTATTTTATTTTATTTATTTTATTTTATTTTATTTATTTATTATTTTATTTTATTTTATTTTATTTTATTTTATTTTATTTTATTTTATTTTATATTTTATTTTATTTTATTTTATTTTATTTTATTATTATTTTTTTTTTTCCCCTCCTCTTTAAAAACCAACCAACGAACCAAAAACTTAAAATAACTGTATCGGCACAAGTCTGCAGCCAGGACATCACAGCGGGCTGTAAGCTTGGATCTGGCTGAGGCAGGGACCTTCTGCCCCTCTGTGCGTAAGGAGCTCATTGCCATGGCAGGGCCTTAGATTTCATTTTCTTCAAATATGTGCACTACTTGGAAATTTGCTTTGTGTAAACACTTTATGGCAGTGAAATGCAACTTCTTAAATAGCCAGTGATAGAAAGTGAAGGGAACAGAAACCATGCTACAAGGAATGCAACCATTCACAGAAAACACTGCACATTATGTACCTAGTTCTGGGGAACATCATCATTAGCACACCTCACTGGGATGTATGGCATTAGTAGCTCACATCACTGGTTTAAAATAACTATTTATAAGATAATATGTCATAGGAAGGGAAGGAGTGGGGAGTCCAGGTACAGAAGGACCCAATATCTGCATTATATATCAATACCATCCTGCAGATAAGCCAAGTCTGCTCTCTTAGCAAGAGCTTGGGAGACTGCAGCATTTACTATGCCAGCTCATGTAGGAGGAAAAAGAGATGTAAAGCCTTTGCCAGGGTTTCCTATAGAGCAGTAGCTCCATTATTATCATTAAGCATCTTCCTTTCAAAGTTTCCTGGATTTCCTAAATGTAACATTAATTTTAATAATTACAAAACCAAGAATACTGCTTCAATGATCGACTGTGTTCCCTGTTTTCCTCCAAGCTAAAACTCTGCTTTCATGTAATACATAAAAGAGCAATATTGCTCTGATGAACTGAGACACATGAAGTATCTAATTAACATTAAAATATTGTCTCTTGTCATTAGCTTCATTTGCACTTTAAGTGTCAGTTCTTGAGAGAGAAGTTCAGAAGCAATGACCTGGCCCTTGCATTAAAAAAATGCAAGACGGAAAAAAGGAAAAATTCCACTGCAACATACCATGTTACAGATAAACAGAGCTGTGTTCATTTGTACCAACACTCAAAACAGGGCTCTCTAAAGAGGAAAAGTCCTTCCTTTCGTTCTCTTGGATCACCAGCTACTCTCCCTGCCCTGTGCCAACAGAACCCAATTCAGCCACCAGAGGGGCAGGGTTGCTGGGTGAGGCAAGGCCCAGCTCCTTGCCCTCACCATGCCCTGGTGGATAGTGCCCTTGGGGACGAGACCAACCCAAGAAGCTGCTGCCAGTTGACAAAAACCTGTGCCCTCGACCGCAGGGCCCCCTGCTCCAGCGCCAGGGCTCCCTGAAAACCTGGGGACAGCTGAGCTGGGGGAGAGGTGCAGGGTGGGATCCACACACAGGAGCTGCGTGTGAAAGGCAAAAATCAGCCCAGAAGGTTAAGAGCAGTGTGATTGGCTTCTACTTGCTTGGCAAATAAGCCAGCTTGTTGGATCTAATTGATTTATGAAAACAGATAACCTTTTGCAATCATCCTGATGGGAGCAGGAAGGCAAAGGAAGATCATTATTTTCATTTTAAACTGACCAGTTTGTTAATCAGGTTTTGATTATTTATGTTGCTAGGAGGTTTGTGCCAAATGAGAACAGAATTTATTTGTTTATTTGCCTGTTTGTTTGTTTTGTACCATGCACTGAAGTACTCCAGACCCCTCCCCAACTTCTCTTCAGCACATGGGGGTGTGGGCCTCAAAAAGCCATGTGGAGGGGAGGTGGCCATTTTCCAGCACAACAAGGTGAGGTGGGCTGCATTGGCGTGCTGGGACCTGGGCTTCTGGGTTCTCAGGGTGCTGGGAAGTTGGTCACATTAGAGGGGGGAGCTGAGCCAAGATGCTGAGAGCAGGCGCTCGCCGCCAGCCTCCAGCAACCCACACGTGTTCACGCCAGGCTGTGTGTTTCTGGCCTGTCCCTGGTAACACCTCTTAACGTTCAAATATCAGGGCTCTAGGCAAAGAGAGAAACTTTATGGTGAAAAGAAGGGTGCATATTAATTATACAGTAAACACCTACCCCATAAACAAAATAAACTTTCATCCCACCATCCCTTTAAAAACACCTGCAAGTTAATTTGGGGTGTTGCTGCCTTCTCTTTGTGCTCGACCTGTTTTACAGGATCTTTTTGCAGTTGCTCCTATTTTTGGTGATCCCTGATATTGGAAGGTGGGAGTTTCAAGACGAGACACTGCTCTGTCCCTATTCCCTTGGCCAGGGAAGGTCTCATCTGCTGCTTGTCCCCAGGGCTGGAGCGAGTCACATTTTGGGGTAGGCAGCCCCATGCTTCTCACCCATGGCTGGAGTGAAGGTACTGGTGCTGCAAGGGGCAGGGGAGAGCAGGAGACAATCTGCACATCGTCAGAACCTCATTGCCTGCTGTTACCTGTGATTTCCATGTGCTGAGGCCTCTTTTGCCTAGACATCAGGATTAAATGCCGAAACATGTAAAACTAATTGTATCACTACAATTCCCTTAGTCAGCACACCTCTTGGTTGCATTGCTGTTACTCCTTGCCATTTGTAGGTCAGGATCTAATGGATGAGCTTTACAGGCCTGCATATTTCTTTTTGGAGTTCATTAAAGCCTGAAGCAATTGCACCTTAACATTTCCATGCAATTGCAAATTTGACCTCTGGCAACGGGCCTTGCAAATCGATTCATTTCCAAAACCGTTATGATTTGTCGTCATTGAAAACTTTTGGCGGGGGGAGCGCCCATCCGGGCACCCTGCACAAATCAGCCAGCAGCCGTGAGAGCCTGGAGCAGGGCACAAGGACCAGTAGAAATCTGAAGACGGTTTTGACATTGCTTAAAAGTAGTTAATTATTTAAGAGTCATCAAGTGTTTTTTTATGTGTTAAAAATTGATGGCAAAACAACCAAATGTATCCTATGTTTGGTTAACACCTAAAACTTGACTTTGACCCTCTGGTACTGAGGCAAAGAAATTCACAGTTAAAAAAAATATATGTCTTTGCAATGCTCTGTGCTTAACTCACACTGTTTTTAAGAGGTCTGTGCACAGTTTTAAGTGCCATATGTCCAGGGTAAGAAAGAAAAACAACAACAAAAATATCTGCTTTTTTTTTTTTTAATACTGAAATTTAAACCTTGTAGAATAAATGTAGAATAATGTAATTCTATCTGTAATTCTATCTGGTTATTGGTTTTCATTTTCCCTAGTACTTAAGGTAATGCTTTTTTAAACTATTATAGCATGACTTAAAGATTGCAGAGCTTTGTTTCTTTTTTTTTTTTTTTTTTTTTTTAAATCTGTTAAAATGTTTAAAGTTTGTGCAGTGCAGACTCCTAAATCAATGCTGATGGCACAGCGAAGGTGCAACTTGCACATTAAGGAATTTCATTGGTTACAAATAATAATATATTTAATTGCAAAAGTTTATAAGTGCAAACGTAAACCAAACAGGAAATTACATTTATTTTTGTGTGTAGCAGATCTGAAAATCTGCCTTAACCACAGAGCAGACTGGGAACATCTACAAAGTTTGGAAAGACTCTTGATCTTACAAGTTTTATTACTTCTCTGAGTTTGTGAAGTTTCAGCTTTTAGCCACAGGGATTTATAACACTTTTGTCAGCTGGACCTACAGGGACCTTTAACACAAGTTTATATTCCCTGCATTGGCACTTACAAAGGTGGTCATCTCAGGTAACTTCAGCTAGCGCTGTATCAGAGAGACTTTCCAACATACATACATAATTTCATTAAGATTTTATTATTTAAAATGAACGCTGTAGCACCATCCAGAAGGCAGTCAGCTGCACACACATCATTCACTTTACTGCCAAAGCCCTTGGAGAAGTTCTCTGCCCCTCACTGTTCACAGTAATCAATGACTGTACATCACTGCCTTCCTTGGCACATATTACACAGAGCCCTGTGTTCAGTTTCTCAGCTCTGAAAGTATAATAGCACAAGCAGCTTCCAAAGACTTTGAGATGAATAACAGATAACAACTTAATAAACTTATATACATATTTCTAAAGCATTTGCTATGTCTGCATTTTGCCTACCAAAGAAGCTCCCCAAATGAAGTTTTTGCACTTTTTATGTTTGGTCCAGGAGAATAAATTGAGATTCATATGACTGAGTAAGATAGTTTATCAAGAGAAACTTTCTTTAATGTGCAGCCATGACAGCATTACAATGTAGTTGAAAATGATAAAGGCAAGCCTTGGTCCATGTCAGTGAAACCAGAGAGATCTGTCCTCCCTGATCCACGGGAAAATTATCAGCACTGTGGCTTTTGTTAAGTCTTTTCAAGCAAGATGTCATGTTTCAGGAATGTAACAGTACTTATCTTGTAGTGAATGCAAACAGAGTTATGAAGTCTACAAATTAAAGTAAAGATGAATATCCTGTTCTCTGGCTAATGTAATGTACAACTTTCTTACTTCCATATCAAAATTTCATGTATTTTAATATACAATAATTATACCAGATAGGATTTCCATCTCAGACTGTGACAAATGTCTGATTACTGCACAATGTGGCACCTCCTTGGTCCCCATTGCTGCTCAACAAGGAGGAGGAAATGAACCTTTCTGGCTTCTGGGACCTGGCGGTTCAAAGGTCATCTCTCTGTGGCTTTTAAATGATTGTAAGGCAACTCAGAGGTGTAAAATTGCTGCACAGGAGAGGCTTCCAGCTTGACTGTAGAGCACTGCCAACTCTCAACAGTTCCAGCCTGG